GAACACAAAACGATCAGCTTTAAAAAGGACTCATAACTGGAAAAACTGAACGAAAAAAGAATGTTAACAAATACTTTTTCACACCCAACCCAGTTCTGCGGAATCAGAATCAACGTTGAGTTTAAGCAAGCGAATGAGCCAATTGGAGTAAAGTGCCATGCAGATTTAATTTTTTCCCACTTGTGACGAATGCAGCTATCGATTTTTTTTTTGCATGCTACCATGCTAGTTAACATTCGTGTCAGTCAGCTGTTGGCTCACACGCTGGCCAATAGAATCTTTCTGCCTATTCGTGGCAGCCAGCTATAGGCTCTTACACTGGCCTGTACAAAATGGCCGCAAACTACATGAAAACTGCCGTAGAAGCATGAAATAATTGATTATTTCCAATATCTATGAGAGTTGGGAGATGCAAGGTCGGTCTTGGCCTTCCCGCTAACTTGGAACATGTGCATGTAAATTTTGGTGCAAATCCGTCGAAAATTGCGGCCGTGCATTCGTTACACACATACACACATCCTGTCTTTTATAGATTGATATCATGAGATTAATACAAGTTACCTTTCGACTCGACAATCAGAAGTGATGCACAAAATGGTAGCCTTTGGCTTTAGACATTTATTAGGGCGGCGAACTTCTGCTTGGGCAACGTTGGCCAAAGTATCCAGTGGGATAACTGTACATGTATTTACAATTCCTTGTCTTAGGGCCACCAATGTAGTCGTTTTTCTGCGATATAAAACATCATTTTGGATCTCCCATATGTAAAAGTTTTTAGATGTTAATTCAGGAAAATATCGTACTACTGTAAACGGTGTTATAAGTAAACGGTGTTATAAGTAAACGGTGTTATAGCAATTTGATAAAACTACGAAAGACAATTTTTTTCTTTCCTGAGTGGTCAATATATATATATATATATTATATATATATATATATATATATATATATGATTCCCAAGAGGATAGAATGCAGATAGAACTCAATGTCCAGAAAAGAGTAAGGATATAATATAAAGGCTCAAACACTAATATTCCATGGTTATAATTTATTACATTGGAATCGTAATTACGAAGCAATACATCAGATCTGTAGGTCGGATGAATTGGATCGTAATTACGATTTCAATGTAATAAATTATAACCCTGGAATATTAGTTTTAAGATATATATATATATATATATATATATATATATATATATATATATATATATATATATATATATATATGGAGAGAGAGAATTAATAGAAATATAAAGTTTGTCCATTACCTGATTGGTGTTACCTTCAGCATCCCGACTCTAGACGGACCATCCAGACGAATCTCAGAGGATTTATATAAGTAACGCCCTTATTTATTTATTTATTAACTTAATACATTTGTGAACTTATCACTGTTCCTAATCAAGCCAGCAAGAGATAGAAGTCCAATCTGCAAAAGGAAACATTTCGCCAGCTAGCGGCATTCCACCCCAACAAGTACGACTCAGAAGAGTCCTATTTGACACATTTTACTATTTCCAAAGTCTTGTAGGAGTCGTCTCGTCTCGCTGGTGAACTACATGAATAAATCAGATTGATTCCTTCAACTGCTTTTCCGTCTTCCGTATTTGATCATTTTGGGGGGCACGCCGCTTTTCTTGTGTCAAACAACGGGACGGGCTCAAAAAAGAGCGCCATATAAAACGTAACTAGATTCTGGTCCAACGCTTCAAGCCGTGTCGTCTCCCTCACCCTCAGCTATGGATTAAATAGCAGTGTGCATTCAGCTTCCTAGCTTTGAGTGGAAACCAGTCTAAAAGAAGGAAAACTTTGAATTCCAAACAATGGAGAATACAATTGAAAACCACTCCACTATCTTTCCTAAGAATGCGTAGCAATTCAGAAATAACAAAGAAAATATGTGGAGAAAAAAAATCACATCACACATTCGGTCCAAGTCAAATCCAGGATTTCAAATGCTGATTTTCAAGGCAAGCTTTTCTCTAATCAGAAAACTGGTGCAACACACTCTTCCTACCTTCTGATTTCTTCTCATTTGCCTTAAGATTTAGTATAATCGCATACAATGAAAATACGCCTAAATCTAAGCAGCGTCGAGCGCGGTCTGTACTTGTGTAACAATACGATTTCTCACACATTCTTAGGAAATAAATAGATAGATTCTTTTTCTTTTTAAGTCAATTTAATGACCAGAGTTTGTTGGGAAGCTCGTCTCCAGTTCATCGTTGAATTGGCAAACAAAATTTTCTTAGTGATTTTAGATAATCATAAAAGTAAAGTCCCTTAAAAACCCAATCATCCAAAAGCTGAATGGATGGCCTCCTTTTCCGGAAACAGCTGGGACCCCAGCCGGTGTCTATATAATGAGTAGTCAGTCAAGAGTAGTTAGTCAGGAGGAAGCGACCAGCAGTGAGCAGTCGCCGAGGCGGTCAGTGAATGTAAGGGTGCTCTTTACGTGGCCGAAGGAAAACATTCCCGATTAAGTGAGAAATCGTATGGCTTGCTATTTCCCAATAAATGTATTGAAAAGCACGTGTCATTATTATTCAATTCGATCAATGCCAAACCTGTGAACATAGCGAGTTCGTTGTATATACACATATAGCCGACCTTGGATATTATCACAGTTGGATGAACGTTTGGGAATACGGGATACTGTAAACGACTTCCTACAATCCGACATATATTTCGGATTTAATTAACCCACAAAGGGGCGATAAGCCGTAAAAACAATCAATCATTCGAAATTTAGTTTCAATTATTTCTAATCGCCTGCATAGCAGTGAATACTGGACAATCTCGCTGAGTAAGAAAAGACTTGAATCGATAAAGGTGTGGTTCTACCGAAAAATATGGAGACTGCTATGCATACAGTATGTGAGAAACGAGGAGGTTTTAAGGGGAAATGAAACTGCTAACAGTCAGAAAGAGCTGAAATATTGGAAACATATAATGAGAAAAGAAGGCTCGGAGAATCTAATACTCACAGGTCACATAGTGGGCAAGAGATGCAGGGGAAAACAGCGAGTTTGAGCATAAGTTGATGGCAGAGAAAAAGTTGTGGAGAGCCATGACCGATCCCGACCTGAAAGAACATTGCACATGGAGTGAAGGCACAAAATGGCGGCGCTTCTTTGCTCAAGAGAGAAAGAGATAAGGATGGAGAATGTGGAACCGAAATTCGAACATGCATTGGACGAGCGAAAGAGACGTTCCAAAATGTAAGCTGTGATGAGAAGCAGAAAAAATCGTTAGAAACAAAGAAAAGGGCGCCTGATCGCTATGTGATATCCGTCCTCTTATATAGCAGCGAATGCTGGACAGATATTCTACGAATGAGAAAACTGGATGCAACAGAAATGTGGTTCTACAGAAGGATAGTGAGAATTCCATGGACGGAAGGAGTAAGCAACGAAAACGACAAAAAGAAAATGGCAACCAAAAGAACACTTATACTCAGCATCAAGAAAAGACAGATGAAATTCTATAGACACAATAATAAGGAAGGAGGCCTTGGAAAACTTATCTATCACAGGGCGTACTGAAGGGCACTTTCAGCCTTGTGCCATATCTAAGCTACGCTTAGACAATGATTGGGCACCTCGATGGTGTAATGGTTACCAAATTTATCTCGCTAGAACAATTACGACTGAGTAGTGACTGCGATCCTTACTGGGTGCCCCATACTTTCGGCCTTATGCCACATCTACGCTACGCTAAGAAAATTAATATATCGAGGATAGGAAAGATAGGCTACTCTTAGAAAATCATTGGGCACCTCGGTGTGGTGTAATGGTTAGCAAATTTGACTCGCTAGAAAAATTACAACGAGTAGTTGGTGCGATCCTCACTGGGTGCCCCATACATTCGGCCTTGTGCCACATCTGAGCTGCGCTTGGAAAATCATCATATTGAGGGAAAAAGTGATAGCCATCGGGTCACGTACATGACGTGTTTGTGTGAATGGACGGTGAGGTGTGGGACCGGAGTCTTAGCAAAGGGAGAAAAACTGCTAAGATCCACATGGATAGCCATGATCGACCGTATCCTAAAGAGACTCAGCACATATAGAGTATTCCAATAACTTGGACCGATTTTAAATATGAATTAAGTTCAAGCGTCTAATGATATAAACTTGAACGTCCATTTTTGTATTAGGCTTCGATAACTTTAACACGTTGTTTGATTGTTAATCTTTCCATGGTTGAAATTGCCAAAGACTTAAGTTATTAAATCTGAAAGAAAAAGAAATAATCATCAGACGCTTAAACTTAATTCACATTTAAAATAAGTCCAAGTTATTGGAACACACTTTATAGTCAAATAATAGGAAAAAAATGCATTTCTGTTTGAACGTCCATTTTCATAATAGGCTTAAATAACTTTAACACGTTTGATTGTTAATCTTTCCATGGTTGAAATTGCGAAAGACTTAAGTTGTTAAATTTGAAAGAAAAAGAAAAAAAAATCATTAAACATTTAAAATTAATTCACATTTAAAATCGGTTCAAGTTATTGGAACACCCTATAGAAGAAGAAGAAGAAGAAGAAGAAGAAGAAGAAGAAGATGTTCCATTTTGACATCGTTCATTGACCACTCACTGGTAATGTATACATTACAACCCAGCACCAGTCAAATTCAAAGCATGATAAATAAATGGAAGCGAACAGTAGATTCCTTTAACAGTCGCAAGTAAACAAACATCGTTATCAAAGTGCTCCAGGGGAAATTTTCTCTCAATCGGCGGTTTCGTCTTCTTTTGAGGTTTTTTGTCTCTTGAGGCAAATACTCGGCACTAGACTGCCGCTCGCATACAAAGCGAATCGACATCTAACACTCTTCCGACACCGAAAAACATTTGTCTGTAAACATTGACGTCAAGAAAAATGATTCCTTTGCCCTAAGTAATTTCAGATTTCTACTGCGCACCTGTGTGTATGGGATGTGCGTGTACTGCTATCATTTTATTTTGATGGCCTTATTCAAGACCTGGCGCTTACGGCAATATCACGTTGAAACACCGGTTCGCATAAGATCATTGAAGTTAAGCAACGTCGAGCCAAGTCATTACCTAGATGGGTGACCGCGTGGCCCTCCCTGTTATGGGTTAATTAGTAAATATTGGTAAATCCTTACTATTTCCAAAATATTCTTACTATCTAAAATATCATCTAGCTTTAAAAAAAAGGTTGATAAGCTGTAAAAAAACAACAATCGATCAAAACCTGGGATGTGCAGGTAGGCTTAGGGCTATCGACGCTGAAAGATAAGTCGGCGAACCAAGTTCATTTTCTGTTTTTTTTTTTGTTTAACTAAATTTCATCCATTACAAGGCTCGTGAGTAACTCAAGATAGAGTTTTCAGTTGTAAGGGTAATGATAAATGAGGCATGGGGTATGAGTGGAAGTGAAGGTGGTAGGAAGTGTAGATTATGAGGATAGATAACGACTGACTCCTGATTTGAAAAAAAGTCAACATTAAAGACATTGGCTGTGAAGGTCTGAACTGGTGGGATTAAAGAATATCTGGATATCTGCCATGGAAATTACGATAGGGTAATGATAGGCTTTCAATTTTGCATCTGTGGAGAAAGACGTTGCAAAGTGTAGAAGAAATCATCCCCACAAGACTATAAAACTTTTATTAAATTATAATTTATATTAGATTGTTGTAAGCTAGAAAAGGTTACTGAGGAATAACCAAAAACGGAAGTTGGAAACGAAATGGTAATGTTTATAACATCAATTAAATACAATACTCGCCAGCGGCGGGAAATAGGTAAACCACTGCTAGCGGTGAACTACTTAGACAGCATATTACCCCCACTTACGATAGTGCCAACGTATTTATGAGGATTGGGACATACCAATTAGTGTTCAAGGGTACCTCGACGTGGTGTAATGGTTAGAAAGCTTGTCTTGCTAGATCAATTACGACTGAGTAGTGAGTTCGATCCTCACTGGGTTCCCCCTACTATAGGCCTTGTGCCACATCTAAGCCGGGCTTAGAAAATCACTACCAATTAGTGTTCATAGGTACGGTCTATAACATAGATAATTATAATTTATCAATAATTCTAAATAATAATTTTGTTAAATAAATTTTTATTAAATGCTTTTCATCGTCTGAGTGAACCATGTTTGCCTTCCATAAGCATGGCTGATGCTAACCACCAGGAGAATGACACACGGCGCCTACTTGGAGCTAACGCTTTCCGCTGAAATAAAGTAGAAAGATTATATTGCGTCAACTGCTAGCTCTGCTGCTAGGAAATTTGGTTCATTGTGTCATGCTAGACATTTTTTTCTTGCCAGAATCTGTCTTGCACATACGCCCATGCGTTGAATATTACTGCCACATCTGGTTTGCTGCTCCTGCTATGTATTAGATATTTGTTGATAAAATCCGAAGATGAATCTGCAATGTTATCGGTCCTGACCTGGCATCTCGGTTCCAACTACTTTCCCATTACCGTAAAATAGATTCCCTGTACTTTTCTGTATATTTTTCTTCATGGTAATTGTTCGAATAATCTTTTCTCTTTGATATCTAGGTTTTATGAATTTAAACGGAGAACTTGATTGGTGGAGTAGGTAATGGCTGCTATGCAGTAACAAATTATTTAAGACGTTGCATACTGAGAAAGACAATAGTCGGAAAATGAAAAATTGGACTTGGTCTGAATAGTAACATAGGCAAAAACAGACACCGTCTGATATGTTTAGAGACAAAGTGCAAACATTATAGAAACGGATTTGTTGTCAACAGTAAATGGAGGAATATCGATGTTGGAAAATATCAAACTATGTGTCTGTAATACAGCTCACTGTTCTAGAAAAAAAAAAAACATACGAATGTCAATAAATCAGAATTGATCCAGAATTTACAGCGAAAAAAGCCATGGAATTTTACTTTGAAAAGACTGACTTAAAAAAATTTCAGAGGTTATTCAACAACCACCAGAATCACAACGCTAAATCGAGACATTCAAAGAACAAGGCAGGAAGATCCCACTTTACCTTTGGAGAAGTTTACAATCAAGAAAGATCTGCAACGAATACGCAAACTCGCAGAGGACAGAGAAGGCTGTCAAGATATTGTCGAATCAGTATACAATGTGATGAGAGAACATGTTAATTCATGACGTCAAATCGAAACAATTTTGATGATTATAACTAGATTAGCAGCTAGGTCTTATTTTACAGACGGCTAGATGTGACCGCAAGTTCTATACTAACAGTTTCTTCTCACTTGTGGAACTCTCTTCCAGCTTCTTGCTTTTCAGTCAACTTCGACCTTCAAACATTTAAATACAATGTCAATCGTTATTTTCTGTCTTCTCAATTTGTGTTCTTTTATTGTCCCCTCTCCTTAATAGCATCTTTTCTCATATTCTCTAACATTCAGTAATCCCTTGCGTCTTAGTGGATTTATAGCCTTGCTTGTGGGGAAATGAATAAGAAGAAATTAACTGTCTTCTTTTTTAAGATTCTATCGAGCGTTGGAAGTGATGTTGCTGTCTGGGTATGGCAGCAATACATCATTTGGTTCTTAATCTTTGTAATAGTAAAGGATTACATGAGCCAGATGAGTTATTTTTTCCTTAAAAAGTCAAGACAATTCACATATATTGAAAAGAAAAGGAAGCTGTGGAAGGCCATGACCACATACACTCTTAAGTGATATGGCATTTACAAACAAATATTTCAGATGTAAACATCTCTTATCTCGTGAATCCGCCCATGAATCTTTTATCAACGGTTTTGTATTTACGGTCTTCGGCGGGTGTGATGTTACAAAAATTATTACGAACCTACCTGCAATCGATTGCTACTCATCCATGTAAATATCGTGTCTGGCATTAATAAAACGAGGTTGTTGAAGCATATATATATATATATATATATATATATATATATATATATATATATATATATATGCCATTGGAAAAACATTCTTGTATTTCTTAATACGATTCTTGCGTCGTTTCTAGTCTCTCTTGCTTTTCGAAAAAAACATTTATCTTCCACTTATAAATAACTAACTTAACAACAGGAAGCGTATAAAAATGTGTGACGAACGTAAGCAGTTGCCCGATATCTAAACCAATAAGATCTTCGAAAACTAGGGAAAATGTTAAAGGTACTTTTAGCATATATTTTTTTTTGGGGGGAAGGGGGCCTTTTTCAGGATAAAATCCTTATCAAGTAAATAATAATATTAACTTTAATAACAATCCACATCATCTACGTATTACTTATTGCTGATGCCCCACTACAAGCGAGCACCTTTTTGGTCTCACGCTTTCCACTGACATGAGGTGGAACGGCTACATCTGCGGCAAGAAACGTTGATTCTCTGTGTCGTGCCAGAAGAATTTTCGCGTCTGAGTCCATCCAAATCTACAGATCTACCATTCGTCCTTACATTGAATACTGTTGCCATATATGGTCTGTTACCCCCGCTGTTCATCTTGAGGTCCTAGACAAAATCCAGATACCGATATGCAATGTGATAGGTCCTGATCTGGCATCTTGTCTACAGTCACATTCTCACAGAAGGGCTGCGGCTTCCCTCTGTCTTTTCTATAAATATTTTCATAGCAACTGCTCTGACGAGCTATTTTCACTGGCACACCATCTGCATGAATTTAAGCATGCTATTAGGTTGGCATCTCGGTACCACCCTCTCACTGTCGAAACGGTTAAATGTAACCGCCTTTTCTACTCCAACAGCTTCTTCTCTCGCACTTCCCGACAGTGGAACTCTCTTCCTCTTACTTGCTTCCCTAATAACTATAATCTTCAAATATAACGTCTTCTGATGTCTTGATCCTGATCCTCGTCCTTTTCTATATCCCTTTCCTCAAACACCCCTCTTTACTCACATATATATATATATATATATATATATATATATATATAAAAAAAGAAAGAAAGAACAGTAAGATATATAATCCGGTGTTCTTATAGATATTTTTATTTTTACAAAATAGTGCTCAATGTAAATTTACAGAGCATTAATATTATAAACTGATTTATTTAAAATATGTTTTTTTTCGCTACACAGTTCTAACCATGTTTCAAAAATGGAAGCTAAAAGCTACGAATTTAATTTTGTAATTAAATTAAAGACATTAATTCCATTTCATTCTCAAGCGAATTTTGAAGTCTAAATTCGTAGCTTTTAGCTTCCATTTTTGAAACATGGTTAGAACTGTGTAGCGAAAAAACATATTTTAAATAAATCAATTTTATATATATATATATATATATATACGTTAGATACATATGTTCGGGTAGACGTAAATGTTTCTTATATACTGTCAAATCGAAAGTCTTAATCAAAGAAGTGCCTTTCGGTAGGCATCGAACCTGTGTTCCATTACTAACCTGAGAAAATAAAGCATCCTTAAGTTAAGTATGTTTCAAACCACTCGGCCATGAAAGACTATACAGCAAGGCACGTCTCAGTAACTCTTTAGGAAATACATATATCCCGTTAAGACTTTTCCAAGCCTGCATTTTCTAAATTTATTTTTATATCCGTTACTTAAATAAAGATCAATTTTAAACAATTAACATATTTTTTTTAATCCATCAATATTTTTATTGCGATAAACGTTAAATTTAATAGATACATATGTTTGAATTGGCATACATGTTTCTTTTTCTTCTTTTTTTTTTAAACAATGAAACTGACGTCTACCGGCTTGGGTAATCGAAAGTCTTAATAATAGAAAAAATTGCCTCTCGACAGGAATCAGACCTGTGTTCCATTTTTAACCTGACTAAAAACACCCTCATTTTTTTTTTCATTTTTTTTCACTAATGTAATAAAAAAAACCAAGAGCAACTCAAGGTAGAGGGATATTGAAGAAGCACGTTGTGTGAGTGTTAAGATGCAATTTATGAAGATATGTGGCGAAAGATTACGGTCAACTTTTGTTTTTACCCTCTTCGTTACGAACGACTGCACAGCAAAGTAAATCTCAATTTACTCGTTTTTGAGATACACCAATCTCCTGTTAGGGCATTTCTGCATCTGCTAACTTTATTTTCGCACCCGGAAACGGAAACAAAGTCATTTAA